GACTACGAAGGAAACATTTTATGGTTTTATACTTGTACCAAAAAAGTATCACCACTATACGTTTTTGAAGACAAACGATGCTATAAAAGAATCCCTATCTTTTATAAGAATAAAGTACATTTCGTTGACACACTTTCAAGAAGAACCTATTTCTGGGATACCGCAGTCCCATGTGGATCAGAAAATAGCCATAATGTAGTACAACTAAACCCTGATGAAGATAAATATTACCTTCTCACCCCATATCCCACATTAATGCAATCACTCAAAAAATTTTCACCAGAAAGCATTCGCGCTATCGCTCGAAACCCAAATATAGACTTACAATCAATAGGAATATACTCAAAATCAGATATTCAACATCACATTAGAACACAACAATTCCAAGAATTATTAACACAAATGGACACAATACAAAGACAATCAATTGACCAAAACTTACGCAAACTTGCCGAAACCGCAGGATTTGCAGACATCTATACGCAAGACTATAGCGGATATTTTAAAGACATTAAAGATTATATATATCTTAACGGTGAAAAATACCGTCCCCAAGATATATCACCTATCAATATTTTTAGCTTTGTTACACTCAAGAATGAAATTCTTGATTTTCTAGGATGGCCCTACTACATCTTAGAAAAATTGACTATTTTATACGCAATGTTTAACTTTATTGGATTTCTTTTTTCACTCTTAAAAGGAATCTATAACACATGTGCTATACACACACAAGTCAATAGACAAGCAAGTGTAGCACGCATACTATTTGCAGGATTTTTTGGAATTTTTTCTACATCAATAAACAAAATTCTTTTAGATGCACAAATAAAAGAATACAACACAAAAATAGCAACAAGACAGAACACATACGACGAAGAGCATAACAATGTAGACACAACGCCAACAGCACCACAGTTACCACCCCTACCACATAACCATCCATTATCCCTAGTCCCACGTAATTTTCGAAACTTAGCAATAACACATAATCCAAATTTAAGACCAACCATATCACAAAGTCCCATCCAACATATAATGACACACCACTCACAAGATGAAAATACCTATGAACAAATTATAGAACAACCCCATACCACCGCTTTTCAGTCTCAAAATAATAATTTTTTTAGCCCACGATGAGCCGACAACTTGGATCCCTACACCGTTCAAATTCCCATCCAACCAACCTCACTACTCCAATTACAATAATACCACTTTTTGCTTTCCCACCACCCGATTTCCCAACCAGTAATGTAACATCAGGCATGAATTCCGATACTAATTCACACATCTCAGTTTTATACTCCACATCACAACTCAATAACCCGAATATTGAAACCCCCGATGAATTTGCCGACTCTGAACCATCTCCATCCAATAATTTTCCCACCAACCCCTCAATTTTTTCCCAACCCCCTTTTCAACCAATGACACCAAATAACCCTGTCCCCACCAATTCTACACCCTCTTATGCTTCCCAAGTCACTCCAACCTATTCTTCATATCATTCAGACCGATCATCCAATTCTCCAGATACCCCCCAAATCTCCCCAGAACTAGATAATTTTATTACATTACAACAACAACCCTACCACCTTGACACCCCCACCATAAACCAAATTTCATCCACAATAGATTCATCCAACCCTCCTACCCCTACACCCTCTTCAATTTATACCGAATCATTAGCACCATCATCCACATCTACTGAATCTTCACTCAGCACTAATAGAGCCTTCCGCACTTTTAAAAGAAAGTTCCCCAACCATCCTTTCCCAGCAAAACCAGGAACAACCCGTGAATATATAAATCACCCAAATCACACTAATACAAAAGAATTTTTAGCTATCACCTTACCCTCATTTCCACAATACACCTTAAACACCCCTCACGACACTAACGAAACACGTAACTTTGTAGACGAACACGTTTTAATGCCTACCCTTCCTTGGACCTCATATTATCATTTTACTAATCCCCTTTGCTTACCTTTATCTAACACTCACATCGATATAGAACGAAATAAGGACATGCTATATCGACTCACTACACCACTAACACATAGACAATTTACTTACATAGGATATAAAAAATCACTAAAAACATACACTGCACCCCGAGCTAACGAATATACGCTAGAATATTACGATCATAACATCATCAGAACTAACCAAGATCAGTTCTTAGACGATGACCGCTTCGCTAACCCACAAATCACAGAAAAATTTTTCATTAAAACACCATATGTATTTACACTCAATATATTTGATCGCAAATTTGACCACATCATCTCAGAAGCACTAACAGACACGCAAGCCTACGAAAGTTTTAAAGAACGCTTCCAAATTTTTTCACTAACCTTTCATTTCCTTGCACCACATGAAAGAGATCTGCACTGCTCACACGATATTATGTTGCGCACTAAACAAACTCACACATATACATATTATCGTTTTATCCAAAATCACTTCGACCTACACACTCCCTCCAGACAACCACACCACCATTTTCAATTCATCAATTCCAAATACACCTCACCATTCTTTCTTAACTTCACATATTGCATTAAAGATACTAACCTTCATGGTATTATTCGAAATTATGATCCCATAACCCAAATGTATATTTTTTGTCCCATCACCAAGACCTTCAACGCAGAGGAATCCCGACCCTTCCTTCTCCCACACGAATTTGTTCAACCTATAGAAATCCCCATTTTAGAATTCATCCACAACACTAAATTCAATCACAAATTATATAATCTAATCCAAAACACACCTTATGAGTTTGCAGTTGGCACTGAAGAACTAACCACCATTTAAGCACTTCAATTGCTTTGGCCACTGCTTCAAACTAAAAATATCATCCGCATCTTAGCTAAATTACTAACAACTTCAGATCTCATCCATGACATCTTCCCCCACGGTTTCTTCCCCGACGACTAACAGGTAAATATGAATTATACATATTATTAACTAATTAAATTTAAACTAGAAACTAACCATTCCTAATTCATGTCTTCTTTAGAATTTTAGCCTTCATCCAACGATCATCTGAAAAATTCACAAAAGAAAATAAAAATTGAAAACTTCTTCAAACTGTTTAAAACTCTATTAATTTTTTGCACCAAACAAATCACTAAAAATAATACCAATGCAGTAATTTAATTTATAAATTTTTTCCCAAATGCAGTAAATCTAATAATGATGAAAATTTGTAACTTAATTTTCCCCAACAACTAGCAGTAAATTTGCATTTCTATGTAATAAATTGATAAAACGAAAATGCAGTACTAACCTTTTGATAATTCCATTCATTCGCACAAAGATTCTATCCACACTCGCACAGCTCGCCCACGAAGAATTGTTTAAAATAATGAATTTCAGTTTCAAGCTTTCACACTCAACAACTCTAACACACGATAACAAGTTTCAAACTTTCCTTTAACCCGGTTGGAAAGGAATTATATACTAAACAACACTAACCAACGCAGCTTACTAAACACCACAAATCATAGAATAACAGCATGACTAAGAAAAGGAAACCAACGGTACCCAAACCGGATTAACCCAGTTTAAAACTGGATAATTTATTCTTTTGAAGACTATTATAAAGTCTAAGAATGAAATAATAAAACACAAAAAAGTCGAAAGACAAACCCATACCAAAAACAATTTGATTTTTGAAAAAAGGACACAACCAACAAAACATAAGAAAAACCACAACAAACCCAACATAAAACGTTGTCACATAATAGGACCTCTCACAAAAACCGCATGCAATCATACTCCCACTCCTGGCCTAACCCACCAGAAGAGGACGTCCTGAGCATGCTCTATAGCCGGCCTAACCCACCGTGCTACATCCACGCTTTGTGACCACACTCCTATTTTTAATAAGAGCTACTCAAGGGTGAGTAACTCTTCAAAATAACTGAACTAAAACAAAAAGCTTTTGTGAAAACAACTAACCAAAATCATAACTAAAACATTAAACTAATAAAAATTGTATAAAATGTAAATTATATCTTGCAGTATATAGATCAGCATACAACACCAAAGACGAACATCCAAAGGCAAGATGACCCCACTACACTCGAAAAAGAATGGCCAACCACAATCAATATGCCGCCCACAATCACATTTCAAAGGATTTAGAGTACGACTTGACTTCGCAGAAAAGGACTTCATTGAATTAGAACAATGACCACCTCGATGTTCAAGTATACGTACAGATCCGAGTAACCAGGCATCCCCTCCACACACAATCTCCACGCCATTCCCAGACAAGGTCAAACACAAAAGAAGTTCTCTACATGAAACGGAAAAACCAGTCATAGCCAACCATTCTGAAATCAGATTTGAGTTTGTTGCGAAAACCCAGTCGTTGTCTTGAGAAGACACAACGATTGAATCTGGGACTTCTCTAATAAGAAAACCCAGAAGAAATAAGATGTTCGCCAAATACCAACGTCCATCATCCATCCTTTGAATTGCAGAAAGACTATTCTAAAAAACTCTGTAAAACCCGGATGGGTGGAACCTGATCTAAACTACATTTTATGATTGGATAAATTAGATATTTTACCACTGTAAAGTCTTTAATATTAACCAATCGTGATCCATCTAACTAACAACCCACTTATTTGTAAGTGCTGAAATTACTTGTAATTTCAGCACCACAGAGATTTGAATTTAACTTAGAAATTTAGTTGACTCTCCAAGAAGACTTCAGCTGCCGCAATAAACCAGTATACCCTAGATCTATTGAGCCTAGGAGAGACTAGTTAAACAACCTGAGACTAGATAGTATAAGAGTAAGATTAGGATCGGTATTAGACTAAGAAGTTGCACGAATCTATCCGGCCGAAAATAAGATAGCGTGACGAGCAGACGGTGTACCCTATCCGAAATTACTCTATGAGTTATACACTTCGGTCCTAACTCACTACCTTTTTATAAATTACTTCCAAGTGCAGCATAATGTATAACTTTTAGGTGCGAGGGAGTCACTTAGACAATCTCTCAAGCCCTCAGCCTACTGGGTCAACTTATGATCATCAAAAATCGTCAGATGTTTTGATGTCGCGAATGAAAGCCACTGATGTTTCAACGGAACCGAGCGATGAAATCAATTTCCCAAATCAATCATCTTCACTTTGCTTTAACTGCGATTTCTGCAGGGAAAAAATGAAGATTAAAAGCAAAAGCAAGCTGATGAAAATTAACCATCCATTTACTCAACAACAGAACGCGAAGCTGGTGTTCTTACTAACTTTCACGAAAGAGTTTCTACAAATGAGCGGAAAAATTCAGAAGTTGAGGTCAAAACATCCATCTTGTGGTGTTTATAAATGCCCTATTAACCCAAGGGAGATCTTGTTATCAGTCACGAAAGAAATCACCAGTGCTAAACTTGGCCAGCGGCTGAAAAATGGGAAGAAAACTATTGACGAGGAGGATGACATATTCGAAGCGCAAACAGCAGCAAACAATCCGGTTTCGTTCCAACTCCGTAAGTAGTAGTTTCATAAACAATAGCAAGACTGCTCTTATCAGGGCAAAACACTAAATGATCCGATTATCAGTCAAACGTCGATGAAAATGTCGGTTAACAAACGACGAATTAGAAAATGACTTGAAGATTTCCGGCGGTAAAAATGGTAATTTCGTTCTTTGTAAATCTTAATTTATGATCAAAAAATTAAAATATGAGTCTTTAAAAAAGTAAATTTGAATAATGTTTTTGCCTTGTTTATACTAACTTTGAAGGGGGGTGAGCGCTGAAAACAAAGTTATTTTTGTGCGCAATTTTTTGTTTTAAATTTTCTAAAAAGGGCCCAAAAACGCCTTAATTAAGGTTTTTTCTTCAAAAAAACGCCTGCGGCGCAGATATTTTGATCGAAAAGAGGTTTTCATAGTAATTTTGCAGAGCTCAAAAAATCAATTTGGTCGAGCTAAGATAAAAACTCGAAAAAAAAATTTAGTTTTTTTTTTTAAATCTGTCCCACCCTTCTCGAGAAAATCCTAGATACAACCCTGATATTGTTGACTCCTTTAGTTTTTTTCCGGGTCAAACATCTCCACGTAAAATACGTTGAGGAGGGTAGTATCAACTAAGATGAGTAAATTAAAAAAAGAATTCTATTCGAGAAAGTCCAAAAAGCCGCAACATATCCGAAAAAAAACCATCCGTTCATTTTTTTCGTGTGTTTAGATTTAAAAAATTGGATTGCGCCATGTGATATCCGATGCGGTATCGAGTAAAAACTAATTGTAATTCAATAATAAATTCTGATAAATTGAATTATGTTTTCTCTTTTTTGTTTTGTTTTGTCTTTTCGATTAGTTACTGAGAGATAGATCAAAATTGAAAACTCTGAACTCTCACCTAAGTTTCAATGTCACAACACACTATGACCTTGAATATAACATAAAATTAATAAGTGAGCACCGCAGGTTGGTAGTACATACATAATCAATTACTGCTATTGCAGTAGCAGTATGACACACCCCCCTCGGTAAAAATAAATTATTCAACCTATGTGGGATAATTTATCTTTAAAAATAGTTTAATAAACTCAGTTCGCACAAAGTTTTTGGGTTACTGAAAGATTGGTTCATGATTTGTTTTTCAGTTTTCCTCCAGCTCTATTTTCCAGCTCGGGTTCCAGTCCACTCCTTCATCCAGAGTTGCATAACCAAATTTTCGCCTGAATAAGTGTCGTTCGAGCATTTTCACTTTCGATTCCACAGGCCTATCACATCGTTCCTTGAAGTCTCTCAACCTTCTACGGTATTCTTGAAGTGCCGTTTTGAGAAGTGCCCCCCTGTCAGACTCTCTAAAATCTCCTTAATGGAGTGCTTTATCGGATCACCAAAACGTTTCGGCTCCTTATTCTTTGTCTGTCTGGAGCTTCGCCTAACACTCGACTCCTCCGCACTTGACTCGTCGGAGAATCCCTGTGGCGGTTCAAATGCGGTGTCTCTTTCCGAAATTGTTTGTGAATTTCCTCTAATCTCGTCCGCGACTTTTTGAACCCCACGTTTCAGTAATTGGTCTGCAAACTTCTCCCATTCAGGTGGTGCCAAATTTCGATTTTGGAATGCATCTAGTATATCCGCTGAAGATGTTTGGGAATCAATACATTTCAATTTTGTCCGCTGTTTTGATTTTGGAGTAGAACTTGACTGAGTGTTTTGACCCAACGTCTCCAGCGTTGACGTTGGTTGTTTCTGCCCCTGGGCCGTTGCTGTCGCAGTTTGACCTGTAACGTTATTTTGTTTGCTTTGTGTCTTCTTTTCCTTGACTTTCTTGTCCGTCCTCTTTTTGTCGCACTCGTCTGCTGGCGAACTTGGACCTGCCAAGTTTGGTTTTGCTCTTTTGATAGCTAAGTTGAGACCCCCTCCTGCATTCGTGTCTTTGGAAATTACGACTGTTTGACTCTGTTGGAAACGGTCTATGGGATTCACCGCATCAGCTATTTCCATATCTCATTACAATTTTTCGTCTGACCCGATATCCTCGAGTGCTTCAGGGGAACTAATCCGTTGATATTTTATCGTGGGCTCTGCTGATGGGCTCTTACTCTCACTCCTCTGATTCTCCTGTATTAGAGTTGTTCCCGATTGTGCATTGTCCGATTTCCGGTAAATGGAGCCTGTTGTCGTCTTAATGGTCGAGTCCGTCTCAGATGCTATTTTCCCCTTCAGCTGCTTAATCAGTGCCTGTCCACTCTTCCGTAACGGGTCCTTTCTTAAAATTGTCTTCGGCGGAGATTTGCTTTTTTCTGTTTCTTTGTCTTCGATGAATCCCTTCTCCCAGGAGTATATCATCTCCTTCCGTAAAACAGGATTTAGTAATCTGGTCTCGTCCACAATTCGCCTGATATCGTTTTTAGCAGCATCTCTTCTCTCTTGATTTCAGCGAGCATTCGCCTCCAGTAGTTCTTTTAGGGCTTTAGCCCTTTGTCGGTCCCTGTCCGAATTTACTTGCTGCTTATGCAATGGTCTTGTGTCCCTGCTGAGTTGTCCATTTCTTACTATTTTGAGGTTCTCTCTTCATTGGTTGATTCTGCGTTTCAATTGTGATGCCGTCAATGCTGATCGTTTGAAATGTTGTTTGTCTAAATAGTCAGAATTGTTTAGAAACCTATCCCTTACAATTTTAAATTCTGTTTTTGGTAATCTGCCAAAATGTGCTTGAAATGGGGATACTTGTATAGTTTTCTGCTTGTTCCACCGTAGATCTCGCATTATGATACTGAGACACAATTCGATCGATTTATTATTTTCCTCGAGTAACATTACCCCCATTCTTCTTTTTATAGTTTGTATTGTTCGTTCTACCAAACCACAGCCTCGATGATCCACCACCGGACAGAATTTCTGGTCGATATCAAGTTCCGAACAAAACCTTTTTAGAGTTTTCCCCCTAAAACCTGAGAATTGATCGGAGCGAATCGATTCCGGAATCTCATGTGTGTCGATATACGATCTCAAGAATTTTACTGTGCACTTTCCACTTGTAGATTTCGTAACTTTCACCGATGGAAATTTTGAGAATTGATCTATAGCTACTAGAAGGTAGATTTTTTTCCTTTTTGACTTTCTATAGGCCCCGCGTAATCTAATTGTACTTCCTGTCCCGGCTGCGTGAGCAGTGGCAGTGGTTTCGACGCGTTTTTTGGAATAAGATATTTTACATTCTTACCATATCTGGTGCAACTACGACACTCTTCCGCTAGATTCACGATTTCCTTGTTCATATGCGGCTATCACAGGTATTGTGACACTCCTAACATAGCCTCTTGGCCTGGATGTCCTCTGTGGATCCCCTTTAGAACCGCTTGTCTCAGCTGAACTGGAACCGCTAAGCGATTGTTCACCAAAACGCAGTCGTCCTGCACTGCCATCTGTGACCACAATGGATTCGTATATGGTCCCATTTGTTTGTCTCCTCTTTCTATCATTAGTCGAAGGCGGTCCATCCAGGTGTCTTCGGTTGTTAATTCAGCTAGCAGACTTTTATCAAACAGTTTTGATAAATTGTCGAGGGCCTCCTCTTGTTGCTGCTTCTGCAGTTTCGATTTACTGGACGTTTTCGGTAGTTCAATTGCACACACTTCTTCTTCACTCTCAATCTCCTCTGTAGTTGTCAGCTCCACCTCAATTACCTGCACCTCACTGAGCTTTCTTTCCGCCGATGCAGTTGGTTTACTGATAGTTGAACTTTGACCATTTCCTGGGCTATCATTGGTTTCTTCTGTGTTTGCCGCCAACTCTCTATCAATGTTCCCCGGTATGTTGCTTTCTCGTCCGATTAGTTGCCAGAACGAAAGTAGTCTTTGATCTGCTTCTCCTTGTTGTTCTGGTTCTAGTTGCCATTTAACTCGTGATGCCTGTCGTGTTTCACTGTCCGAGCTATCTCTATTTTTCCGGCCTCCCCGAATGATTTTTCTTGTGCGCTGTAGTGTTTCTGTGATTTCCTCCTCTTCAGAAAGTTCGTTTGCGTTTGTCATTGAGCAATTCCACTTTGGATCCAGGAGGCTCTCTTCTCGTTCATCGTTTCGCCAGTCCTGTGGTGTATCCGACCACCAATCGTAGGATCTTTTTTCTGACATCTCGTTCCTTGAGTCTGTTTTTTTTCTTCTGATTTTTTGATAAAATTTTCTCCGCGATTTTCAATTTATTTGAGCACGATTGTTTGCTGCGTTGAGTTGACGAAAAAGTGACCGGTTTAACTTTAACTGTTGTGTTTAGCTGTTTTGGCAGTCGTGGAAACTGTTTTCTCTCGTTCCGGTCGAGCTTTGTTAGTTTTTGACCGTTTTGGTTGCTATGGCAACCATTACTTGATGACTGTTTCTCTGCATTCCTTCTAGAACATTCTAGAACGTTTTCCTTCCGGTCGAGCAACCCAATTCCTTTCAGCCTACTGCTCATGCAGTCTAATGCTTCATGAAAGGAGTTTATTGTCGCTACTACAAACTTATCGTCTAATTCTGATTCGGGCCAAGGATCATTGAAAGGATCACGCGATAAGTAATCAACTATACCCATGTCCCTCCGTGGAATGTGAACTATATTAAACTGATATGGCACCAATCGATCGACCCACCGGGTCAAACGAGATTGATAGGTCTTATTCGACTTGTTACCATCTAGCGCTGATGTGAGCGCTTTGTGATCTGTTGCAATGGTAAATGATTTTCCCAAAAGATAATGTTCGTATCTGTCTACTGCCCAAACAACTGCCAGTAACTCTAGTTCATTTGTTGAATATTTTTTTTCTTGTACATTTAGATACCGAGATGCGAATGAGATTGGAACCCACAAACCTTCGTCATTTTGTTGTTCCAGAGTAGCACCTAAGCCATAATGGCTCGCGTCACACTTAACTCGAGTCTCTCGGTTGGCATCATAATAATGTACTTTTGCAATATTTGCTACAGCCTCTTTTATGGCATCAAATACTACAGTGTGCTCATCACCCCACTCAAACTTTTTTACCGGTAGTTTCATGTTTTTCAACTTTCTATTTTGATTCTCTACTTTAAGAAGTGGCCTCAATTTCTCAGTTAGACTCGCTGCGTTAGGTATAAATTTAGCTAAGTGATTTATACTTTCCAGAAATGACTTTAATTGTTTAAGCGATTTCGGCGGATTTAGGTTTATAATCGCTTCGGTTTTAGTGAATTTTGGACTAACCCCTGCTTCCGAGAGGTGATGGCCCAACCAATTAACTCCAATTTTCTAAGTACTGCATCCACCAGATCTTCATGTTCCATTTCTTTTCCCTTCGACACAATGAGAATGTCATTTAGAAAGCAGAACGTGTTTTTAGCGTGATTGATAGTTCTGTCCATGGCCTTTTGGAATTCGGCTGACATGTCCGCTAATCCAGAGAACCCTGTAAGAAATCTGTATGTACCGGTCGCTTTTCCGCCAACAATAATAAAGTTACATTGTTTAGCTGTAAATGCATCTAATTTTAATTGACTATACGCATATTTCAAGTCTAACACCGTGAAATAGAGAATATCACTTCTGTTTTCCGTAACAATTTGGCTCACTCCATCTATGAGCTCATCTACGTTAGGCATTTGGTATTTATTTTCGAACAGTTGCCTATTCATTGGTTTCGAGTCCAACGCCAATTTTATTGAGTCGTCCTTTTTTACTGTTATCACAATCGGAGCAATAAAGCAATCCCTCGTACATTTATCAAGCTTTGTTATATGACCTTCTGTCAACAATTTCTCAATTTTTCTTTCGACTTTATCCTGTATGTGAATTGAAATTCTTCTCCCTTTTTCTTGGATTGGACATAAAGGATATTTAAATTTCGAACTTACAAGGTGATTTTTTGAAATTCCTTGTCTTTCAAATAAATTTTTGAACTTATTGAAAAACTTTTCTTTCCAACCTTCTGACTGCTCGCACATGAGCACGTCAAACCTCGTAAGTTCCTTTGGCGCTGGTTTTTGTGTAGTAACTATTCCCACTTGTCCTTGTAGAACTAATCCCATGATGCATCTAGTCTTACGTTCTGTCACCAGGAAGGTAGCACCTTTCACCTCCCAGCCCGCCGACCGAAGGTTCGTCTTTAAGGCTCCCAAACACTGATCGGTTGTTTGTTATAATCAACGAATTTGGTCTGCAAATTCAGTTTTTCCGACGGATTGAATCTTACTTTGCTTGATTTGTCCATAATTTCCTTCGCCGCCGCCCAATTTAGAAACGAAACTGGACTTCCCGTGTTCACTGTCAATTGTATTATTTGATTATCAATTCGTACCATGGCCTTCAGTGATTTTGCACGTTTCAACGTTGGGTCTCAAATTGAATAGATTTTCTGGACTTGTATCGTCTCTCCATTCGATTTGTTCCACATTTCATTAACTGGATCCTTCACATATTTTGAAATTCTTTCATTTTTCGGTTGACGTGTTTGTATCGACATAACTTCGAACTCACTACATGACCCAGAACTTTCACTTATCTGATCGCATTCCTCTACAGATCCTTCCGATTCTTCCGCAACCTCACTCACTTGCTGAGATCTACACATTTTTGCAAAGTGATTGGGTTTAACACAATTCTTACAGTTTTTCCCATCGCTGAACAATTTTTTAAATGTCTCTGATCAAACGCCCTTCCTTATCTGTTACATGGTTTCGTTTTCATGTTGTTGTTCTTGATATTGTTTTGCTTTTTATTTGTTTCCCTTCTATTTTGATTCTTTGCCGTTCCTGACGAATTTCTAACTGCCATTACAGGTTCTTGTTTTATCCTCACTCCCGAAGTGTAATTGTTACTTGTTCCTCCTGTAGCCGCAGCATTCGTCTTTTGAAAAGCCATTGTGGTTTACTTGCTGTGTTCGATTTTTATCGCCCTTTTTAGAACCTCTTCCGGATCTAGAGTCTCGAATGTCAACGTGTCCTGCAATGTCATGATATCTTGCAATGTCATGCCATGGCAATGATAGTGTGTGAGGACAAGCTCTCACTTGACCTCCAGCTTCAGGTCTACCACAACCTGACCAAATTTGGCTGCAATAGTGGTACCACGTAAAAGTTCTAGACGCAAAAAAAACGGCCTTGACTTGCAAAAAACAGCTTCGCTCAGCAAAATATTACTGTCTGGAATATGGGGAGATAATACAAATGGACTATCCTCGACAGGACTGTTAAGGCCTACTGATAGCTCCTCTGCGATTGCCAGGAACTACAATCATTATTATTATTAAAAAAATTAAGACCGAAAAGACTTTAATTTGACATTTTACGTTAATTTGACACCTAAAGTTTGTGATTGTTACCTGATTTTGCCTGAAAAAAAAAACAGGCAAATAATCTCAAAGACCAAAATCAAAAGTTCTTTTCTGAACAACAAAATAGCCCAGAAAATTGGCTTGTGTAATTTAAACTGTAGAAAATGATTAATGGCTAGATTAAAAGCGTTATATGTGCCGATAAATTCTTCGCTAAGCAATTTCAATGCAAAATAAAAGGTCGGGGGATATTATGTTCTACTCAGTCTATTTCTTCTGGGAGTAAAAATTGATTTGATTTTTTTCAGGATTATCCAAACATGGGTTGAACGAAGCTCAGAAGATGCCTTTGGAAACCTTCTGCTTGATTGAAATTATGCCGGACGAACGCAAACTTCGCCAAACTTCATTCGAGTCCAAAAGTGTCGCCAGAATATCTGATTTGCCGTTTTCGGCGGCATCAAGTAATGCCCATGTATTTCCTCTGATTCTGTACGACCATCAATTTCCAACCTTTTTTGACCATTATGTGCGTGGTATCAACATTCCCAGTCATGCATTTTTGAATAAAGCGATTTGCAGTGTTATTTCGAGGAGAATTTTTGACTATCGCAAAGAAGCTCCCGCAAGCAAATAAGTTCCAGCTTCGCTGCTATAAACTGGGTAATTGGAACGGCGATATTCTATGCCAGATTTTCCTAACTGTAGAATGCTCTTTCGAATAGTTTTCAATGTTTCTTTTTTTCTTCCAACCTTTCAAATTCTTAACTTCAACTCAACTCGGATTGGCCTATTCTAATGAATGCTTTAAATTGATCTATAGTGTCGTAATAAAGTTTTTTTTACCAATAAGTATTCAAGAATGATCAATATTTTGTGTTTTCTGTTTTAAACCCTAAACAGCGAAAGCATCGGCAAAAGGCAAGAAAATTATGCAAGTGAGCAAGTAGATACATCTGCTGCGAGAAGTTATTTTCGACATCAAGAAGCTCAATTATATAGCACTCACTCATCAAACAAAATATCAATCTGATTACTCATTGAGCAGATAAGTTTCTATTTTAGTTAAACATGGATTTTGCATCTTGATAGATATCTTTCCATATTTCAAATGTAGGATTTCTTAAATAGTTCAATTTTGTAAAAACTTAACAGAGCTTTTGGATTCCTTCATGTAACACAAGGTAGGATTTTAGGCGTAATAGAAAAACTCGGAATAAAAGAACTAACAATAACAAACAACTCGTTTTGAAAGACAAATCGCAAAATACTCACCGCCTTATTCGTTGCAATCTTGCCAACAGAGGATATGACTTTATAAGAAAGTTAGAGCCGGATCGCCAGGAAGCGGCGACGCGCGCGTAGCTTGACCAACGGCGAATTTAAGCCAAACTGCTCAAGTTATAATATTATTTTCAAACTTCACGAGTTTCAAATTTTACGATTTTACAATTTTTACGCGAGTTATCGTCTAAATTCCGTTATTTTCTGGTCGTCTATTTGCTTGATGCCTAATTTCCTAAAGACCAACTATTTAAAATAAAATTAGTCTCTATCTGATTGAAATACTAGCAAAAGCGAAATTAGGTTCGACACGAATTTAAGCGCAAACCGTTGAACGTTGTTCTGATCAGTAAAACTGATCGGATTAAGTTACTATTTACGGTCTATTTGTAGAACAAGATGGGTTAAAAACAAAGCTTTTATGGTTCAATATTTAAGAAAAAAGTAGACAATTTTGAAGTTTAGTAAGACAAGCATACCTATCAGATCTCATCTAACGGGTTTTACCGAAGAATTTTAAACGTTTAAATTTCCACTTTAAACTTTCTTCATCAATCGTGAGGTTTTGGTTCATCTGATCTAGTGAGAAAATTTAGTTGCGTTAGGATGTCTTTGAGGCAATCTGGTTGTTCTGTCTTTACTGAATCAGTGACGTATTTGCGAGTTTTTTCACTTAAAGAAGAAATTGCATAAGCAAAGAATCCCTGGGAAGAAGTAGGTATATATATCGGGAGCTAAAATTTCTCTAAAAAATCGCGACGATATAGAACAGTTTCCATGGTTTTTGACTATTTTTGTTCCTATTTTTTTAATCTCTGTTCGTGAAAAGAGATGTCATCGCTGCTGAATACTAAAGTCGGTTTCAACTTTCATCTCGCAATTTAGCACTAGTCAAAAAAATTTAACAAACATCATTGTCAATTTCTGTTACTGATTTTGTAGTTTATATGCGAAAGCTTTTTCTAAACAACATTTTTTCGAAAAACTTTTTTTCCTTAAGCAAGTGACTGAAAAAATATGTCGCCCAAGATGTTTTTACTGGTGAGTCAGTCCTGTGAGTGTTAATGATTAGGAGATTTATCAAGTGATAAACATGATTATTCCATGATGTTTATCTTTTTTTTTTACTTTTTCCTGGTTTTAGTTTGGTCTTTGTTGAGTGACCTGGTAACTAATAAATATTGTCGATAGTTGTTTTTTAACCAAAAATAAACTAAAATAAAAAAAAGGTTGGTTTTTAGTCCTACAAACCAATGGGCTGTCTTGATACCTTTTGTTTCAATAGTTTTGTAATATGCCAAATGCGCTGTTTGCTGTAAATCGTCTTCATGCTTTGGTTAATACAATATTAGAGAGCGTCGCTAGTTTTCATTCACTACGATCTCCAAAACTCTAAAAAAATTTAAAAAGCAGAATTTGTAACCAAGAGTTGTCATGCAAATTTTACTTCGTAAAGAAACTCGGTTATTTTGTTTTGTTGTCACTCAAAAGGTCCTGCAAAGTTCTCAAAAGGAGTTACGGATACTTCTGTAAAAATTTTATAAGTAACCAAGAATAACCAGTTGGTGTGCAAAGCGCACCGATTGACCAACTACGTTAACTTAAAAGTCAGAAGTTTGTTGAAACGAAATCGCAAAAAAGCTAAGTTAACCAAACATTGGAATTTTTTCAAGTTCATAGCAGTGACCGAATTATAAATAGAGTAGCGGCTTTTGCAGATAAGAATAATAAGAATACCACCCACTGTTCTTTCGATTTAACCGTTTATCCGAGATTTGACTTGAAAATTTTCGAGAAAAGTTTAACTTTCACAAAACTGCCAAAAAGCCAAATTATCGGGTTTTCGTTTAATTCATACAGGCTTCTATGCCAAAATAAAGAAGTAAATGCTGATGCAGAAAAAAATCTCATGAACTGTTTTTTGAAATCTTAATCCCAGATTTGGAGGGCTAGTTTTTGAGAAAAAAAAGTTCACAAGAACGGTTAAAATGACAAAGAAGGACAGCAATCCATAGCGGTTTATCAAAAAAAGTAGGAAGTAGGGGGTTATGCAGAGAAAAACTCCATACAACGTTCTTTCCATTAAGCAGTTATTTTAGACACGAATCGGAAGTTTTTGAGAGCATTTGAAAGTTTTCCATTAATTGTCAAAAACTTTTTTAAAATTTTTTTTCTTAGTCCATAAGCTCTCTACTGTTGGGAATAGCTGCTTCAAAACAATAAAATTTTCAAAACTGCATTTTTGAACTCAAAATTTTTTTCTTCAAAAATAACGGCGTTGTCGCTTTCGCAGGGAAAATCCAACTCACCGATTCTTTCGATTGAACCCTTAATCTAAGTTTCGGAAGTGTAAATATTCAAACACTCCTTCCCCTATTGAAATGTAGAACGGGGTAGTTTTGTACCAATTAGGTGAAAACGAGCACGCATGCAAGTGAGTTGCTGGTATTTCCTTTGATACTATTTGATTGAAAATCAGCAGAGTAGTTTTCTTTGATGCACAAAAATTTTGGTGAAAAAGACTAGCAAATATGCAGGCACACAAATGAAAAGCTGGCCTTGAAAAGAAAATGAAAGTTTTCAGAGGGCGGTAAATATTTTGAAGATTGAACTTCTCGAAAACTAAAAACAGTTTTTCACCCAAACTAGGAGGCAGCCGTTTTTTGCAAAGGAAACTCTTGAACTCTTTTAGTTTAGTTGTTTTCTCAACCTCGTATTTGTCAGGGCAGTTTTCAATACGAAAAACAAGGTTTAAATGTTTCCCCCATTGAAAATTTTCTAGGCCGTAAAACGGGGCGGTTTTGTACCATTTAGGTGAAAACGAGCACACACGCATGTGAGTTGCTGGTATTTCAATTGGTGCTATTTGATTAAAAATCAGCGGAGCAGTTTTCTTTGATGCATAAAAATTTTGGTGAAAAAGACTAGCAAAGTATGCAGGCACACAAGTGAAAAGCTGGACTTGAAAAGAAAATGAAACAGTTTCCAGAAGGCGGTAAATATTTTGAAGATTGAACTTCTCGAAAACTTAAAACAGTTTTTCACCCAAACTAGGAGGCAGCCATTTTTTGCAAAGAAAACTCTTAAACTCTTTTAGTTTAGTTGTTTTCTCAACCTCATACTTGTCAGGGCAGTTTTCAACAAGAAAAACAAGGTTTAAAAGTTTCCGCCATTGAAAATTTCTGAGGACGTAGATAGTGGGGCAAGGTTAATAGAGGTTATCAGACTAAGCATGCACACGAAAATAGCTGGTCATCCCATCGGTATAACTTTGATGATAATTGGCGGTTTTCGAGAAACATGAAAAAAACTTTGCGAAACAGTCCAGCTCTTTGAATTTGTAGAATATTTTTTTTTTGGCACTGTTTTGATAAAATTAATCCATTTTTGATAGAACCTGGATCAATGCGTAAACCTTTTTATTTCACTGGGAATCTGATTAATGGATTCCATTTTCGAAGTTAAAAAATCACGTTTTTTGCTACCTTTAACATTTTGCTGCTCAATAAATTTCATTTCCTGTTAAAAAAGATGAGCTGAACTTGAAAAGAAATCAAAAGTCAAACCACAAAAAAAACCGTTTGAGCCTCAACAAAATTTTTGAAGCTTTTCATGAAAAAAGAAAATGAGAAAAAAACGTATAAAAGAGTCTGAACTTCGTTCATCGATTTTTAATTAAAGACTGTTCAGTTTGACCAGATACTTGGATCAATTTATACGCCTGTTCTTTTCTTAACAAAAAAAGTTGGCTCTTTTCCACTCCCCCCCCCACCTTTCAAAATATCGATTTTTATGTTTGTTTTACGTGTTATTACGGCTAAATGCGTGATGTTACCCTGTAATGTATGAAGAACAAATCTGTTCATAATTGTCGATTTGTTCACCATGCCAATTTTTATTGCATTATGACAACGTTAAATAAGGTTTTCAAAAATTAATTCGAAGGGGGGGACTGGGAAAGAGCCAAAAAGTTGGGCAACTGATCATGTAACCATCAACTAAGATGTAATACGTAGAAAATTGTTTAAAAAATTAAGGCCTGCAGTATTAAACCTAAAATAACGCCGGAACATGTTGATATGCTGATAGTACTATGTAGTCCAAACACTGATTTCCAAACTTGATAATTGGCCTCGATGAACAGAAGGTTTGCTGTAAACATTGGCAAAATTCTCTTCGTCATCAAATGTCAAATTTGTATACACAGATGATAAAACTAGAAGAATTCACTTTCACATGTAGAAAATTTATCAACCAAATCACACTTGACCTGAGAGAGCCGCACAGTTAGCTCACCAATGTAAGCTTGCAACGCTCTACTGATAAGTCAACATCAACCATTTTCACAACTTCGACAAAGGGACTGTCAGTCAACAGATCGCAAAATTAGGTTTATTAAAGTTCTTATTGAGCTTAAGCTGAAGGCCAACTAACTCGGCGTGGTTTCACAGAACACGTCAACATTACCAGCGACAAAATGAAAAAGCGGAATGATACAATTTAAAGAATGCCTGAAAATGACTGGGGTTGTACCAAAGCAACAAAAAGTGACATATAAGGTCACTGGGCACGCACAGTGTGCTTCATTACGGGCAATAAC